GACTGAACCTTTTAGGCAAAAGCAAAGTGAAGGAATGATATCATGAAACACAGTTGTTGTATGTCATCGTGTAAACATGGCTGTTGTTAAAATCAACACAGTTTCATTTTCTTGCAAAATCATGAAATGGACTTGGTTTGGCCATGTTTCTGTTCTCCATACCATTATATGTTTTTATATTGTGTCAGTCCCACCAGAGCAAAGTGCTGTACATAATTATGCCTGTTTCCTACCCATAAATGAATGATTGTGTCTGGACGTACGGTGCCTCTCCCGGGCCTACCCACGTCATTAGGCCCTTACACCATTTACACGGCTTAATTACATCATTACCCCATAACTCACACATACACCAGCTTTGTGTGAAAGGTTCCATGTGGAAGGTTTTCAAGGGTATGGAATTTCTATCTGGTGGTTGTGTTTCTTATATGTACCTTCCTTTTACATTTGATTTCTTGGATTCTCAATTCCAATGGTTTTTTTTCTAGTTGACCGACTATAAATGGTTATATATGTATTAGGCATGTTTTATGAATGCCACAACTTTCCTGGTCCCCTTTGAATATGTTTAAAACAGTGCAGAAGAGATTGTAAAAACTACAATAGTTTCAGCTTTAAGGACAGGCATGGTAATGGAAATAAGCTAAATCCAAAGGTAAGGTTTTTAACGTTACTCGTCCCTTTGAGAATCATTCAAACAGTGCATGAAATATGTCTGAAGAGATTGTAAATACTACAGTAGTTTCAGCACAAAGGACATGCATGGTATTGTAAATAAACTAAACACAACTGCAAAGTTTATAACGTGTTTAACAAGTATACAATAGAAGTGAGGTGTGGTGTGGCACATAACGTCTATTGTCCCTCATCACACATGCATAGGTTTGATTTTCACCAGATGTTAAAGTACCCGCAACAAATGTCATAAATTTTAATAATAAACAGTGCAGTCAGTTGTAGGGAGGATGGCAGTGCCCAAGGTACATTGGATGTCATCAGTCATAGCTTTAGCACCTTCAAATTGCTATATTTTCATGAAGCATATGTTTAACATCTGGCCATCAATAACAGTTCCTATAACATCTAGTTCGTATTATGCCATGATCCAATCATTAGCATTTATTTTCTTATCAACATGTTTCTTTGATAAGCAATTCATCCTGCATCTCCCCAAATATAGCATATAATAGTCCAGGTTGATTGGCACCACGTCGCTTGTAACCACATATCTTTCACGGGTTATACATGCCAAGCTATAGGTGTCCCAAACTACTAGTATCTGGTTTGTCATGTCGGTGAAGGTTAGACATCCAGGTAATATTATAGATATGTAAAAAAAAAACACAGTAGTTTGTTACTCATTCAAGCAACTGGATATGATTTTGAAATTGTATCATCCTTGTCTTGACTTGAAAATTGTCTTCACTTATTTGCATATCAATCAATAGTTCTTGCTTATAAACCTGCATTTCTGCACAAGTTCTCTAGTGTAAATGACGAAAGGTAGTGGATGCTACCTGAAACGTCAGACTGTTTCCAAAATCACATCCAGTTGCTTGAGCAACTGTTTTTTTTTTGTGGCGTTTTTGGTTTGTCCTACAAATGTATGTCTCCTATAATCCCTATGTAGTATCTAAATGGAGTGGCCTCCAGCATGCTAACAGTGTCTGAGTCACACCGGCAGGTACAGAATCAATACAGACATCAATCCTGCTGCACAAGACAACTTATTGTGCTGCTGGTTCGATAGGTGGGTACTGGATAAGAGGCCAGCTGTGAGGGGGGTGGGCAGGTCTGTTATTTGAATAGAATAGAGGACAACTGCCACTTTGTTACAGAATGTAGATCATTGTAGATTGTAAATTAAAGAGAGAAATGGACTGTATATGTTTGTACAAAAACTTTTTCCCTACTTCATACACTTGAGCACTGTAGAAAAGCTCATATTCTTAATGCAACAATTGTACCTGCACTAACCTGCATATACCCAGTACATGGACCAGTGCAGGTTAGGTGCAGGATGTTAGACATCAGAAATACCTGCACAGTTCCAATTTTACGTGCACGAACCTGCATGTGCAGGAGGTATTTCCAGCCCTGCAACAGAAATGTGTCCTTCAAACTAGAGAAATCCCCTCGAGAAATCCCAGCCATTACTCAGATTGAAAAAGATATTTAGCAAATAAGGCCACACCAATTTAATTTGTTGGTTCTCGGATTTTTTCAGAAAAAATATGAAGCGACAGGGCGAAAAAAAATAAAAATAAAAACAGGTCTAGGCATCCTATTATTGGCTTAAATGGTATGAAATGAGCCATGAAGTCAACACAAAAGGCTGAGTTAAAATTTAAACATTGAATTTTGAACTTTTAATCAAACCACTGCAATGATAGATGGGAAAACTGTAACAACTAGGAAGAAAAGGACTTTCCTCAACTGTTGGGGGCAAAACATGAGCATTTTTCAGTTGATTCAGGACCAGACTCAAATTTTTTTTTTTTGCAAATCAGAAAAAAACGAAGAGGCAAATCCGAGAACCAACAAATTAAATTGGTGTGGCCTAACCAGGGTCCTGCAAAGTAGGTTAATCATCCTCCCAGGTCGCCCTTAAGATAAGCATTCCATTTTCTTCTAATCATCAATAGACTTAAAACAAATGTGTGCCTGACCGCAGACTGACAGTTTGGGTCACCCTGCCCCTGGCCTGACGTATCAGGAGATTTATGGTAAGCCCCAGGCCTGGTATTACTATGCAGCCCTGTGGCATTGTTTGTACATTAGAGAGATTATGAAATTTTATTCTAGGGAGGAAACAGAGCAGCGAGTCATCAATATCAAGATATTAGATTAAAATCAACTTTATTGCTCAACAATTGTAGCTGGTACAATGTATGGCAAAGAAACAAGAAAGGTACATATTACACAAACTAATACTAAAATTTGATTCTAGCGGGCTAGTCCATAATGATACTAAAGCTAATCTAAATATTGTGTTTCCTTAGGAAGACTATTATTACATTCTGTAATTCAGGGAGGAGTAGGCTTTGTGGTCTAAAACAAAGAAGACTTGGAAACATATTACCGGTGTTGATCTTTCATCCTTCTTTTTTGGCCTACCTCAACAGGTTCCCAATGTTTTGTATATCAAACAGATTGGGTCATGAATGTTCCTCAGATTTATATGAAAATGCTTAATTTACATCCTTTCTGACAGTGTTTATAGCTGGATATGGGTGTCTGGTGAAACACGATAATTTCACACTGTGGTAAAGTAGGTAGAACTGTTTAGGATTGATTTATCCAAAGAGGTTAGAGAGGGTCCCTTTTTTAACCTCCTTGATTTATCCTTGTGCTAAACAGGATTCAGTTATTAATCCTATCCATGGTTGAATTGTTTAGTTAATTGGATAAAGAGATTTGCCTTTTCAGAGCCTTCTTAAAGCTTTTATGAGCTGCAACCTGTCAGTAGTGCTCTCAGTACGCTACAGGTACAAAATTTACTGTTCATACAAATGTAGCAATCCCCATATCTTTAGAGTTCTTCTCTTCTTCTCTTATCTTTAGAGTAAGAAGAATACAAAAGAACAAACACAATCAAATTAATCTAGATTGTTTAATGAGCATGATAGCACGGTAGGCACCACCTTGTGTGTAGATTACAAACTGTAGCAATGCTGTCTAAATGCAAATTGCCCCTGTGTGGTAACAGGAGAATGAATCAGCCTGCTCCAGATTGCTATCTAGATGTGCTTCCGGTATCATCTGCAGATTTAGTTGTCAGCGCAGTTTACCGTGCTTCCTGCTGTTATGCTTGTCTGCCTGGAGCACTTCCATGCTCTAAATAATACATAACTACATCATTGTACACAACAGGGTCTCTATTACCACTGCCTTAGCTGGTTTAACTGTTGCTGAGTCTTAGAGGAATTTTACACTAATTGTTTTGGGTGAACACAAGGGATGCATCAGTGGTTCTTGGGCAAACAAAACTCCTAAAATAGGCCTAACTGTTGCCTGGAAAGTAGTTCTCAGGTGCTGTACTTGAATATCCTAGCTTTTGAATCTGTATAGGTCTGTCCATGCGCAACATCTATAGTGCACACACCATATAGGCACTGAATTGTACTGACACTACTGCTGCGATCACTGGCCATTAGTGGTAACACTGTGGACACTGCATTGTACTGAAACTGCATTTTACCATTCGTTACAACCAGTTAAACTTAGTATCCTCTGATTCCGCCACAGTTCTGGACATGGCGAGGCACGTGCCTCTGTACTGCACAATGCTGTAGCTGCTGCTTGAAGACTAAGCTTTGCAATGCTCATGACGTACTGGGTGCTAAATTATACCTACACTTCATCAGTGCTCACACCTAGGCCAAGCAGAGTTCACTCAGTGGGCACTGAATTGTACTGAGACTACAGCAATGCACGTGCTGCTGTACCTCGCAGTGCTGGAGCTGCTGCTTGAAGAATACAGTTTGCAATGCTGAATTTTACCTAGCTAGACTACCAGTTAAAATCCATGCCCTGTGATTTCTCCACAGTTCTGGACACGTCGTGTTACGCATTGTTGGAAGTGCTGCAGCGTGTGCTGACCATCAGTGCTCACACTGGGGGGTATTTTACATTCTGAGACTACCATTCTTTATAATCAGTTAAATAAAATCCTTTTCTTGTGTTCCCTTTGCAGTTCTGGACATGGCAAGGCACGTGCCGCTGTACCGCGCAGTGCTGGAGCTTCTGTGGGCGCTGGCCATCTCCCGGCACCTGGTGCACACAATTGTACCGAGACTTCCATTGGTTAAAGTCACTTAAACTCCTTTTCTTGTGTTCCCTTTGCAGTTCTGGACATGGCGAGGCACGTGCCGCTGTACCGCGCGGTCCTGGAGCTTCTGCGGGCGCTGGCCATCTCCCGGCACCTGGTGCACACAATTGTACCGAGACTTCCATTGGTTAAAGTCACTTAAAATCCTTTTCTTGTGTTCCCTTTGCAGTGCTGGACATGGCGAGGCACGTGCCGCTGTACCGCGCTGTCCTGGAGCTTCTGCGGGCGCTGGCCATCTCCCGGCACCTGGTGCACCTGCTGCTGCCCCTGCCGCAGCCACAGCAGCTGGGCGCGGAGCCCGACGGTGAGGAGCCGCCCGTCTCCGTCAGCAGGCTGCTGGAGAAGATGAAGCAGTGTGTGGACACCTACGCCAAGACTCTCAGGTAAGGGTCGATCAAACTCATTCTATAGCGGCCGAGTCATAGGGAACAAGAACAGTCATGCCTTCAAATATCAGAGTTGTCAACCAAGAATTGAGGTGTTCAAAAACTTGTATTTCCCCAGAACTATCGTAGACTGGAACTTGTTGCCACCAAGCACAGTTGGGGCATCATCACTAGAAAGCTTTAAACAACTCCTGCAATCAAATGTGCAAAGATTGAGTGTGACAAGTCATTCGGTGTGATATAGCTTGCTGCCGCCGTGCCTCGTGCCTGCGAAGCTGGTGTGTTACGCCGAAGGCGGTTATACCGATACAGATACAGATACAGATAGGGGAAAGACATTCTCCAGAAAACTTCCTTTTCCCAGAGCCGTCTCTAGAGATACTGGTCTAGAAATTTCAGATCTGAAAGCAGTGATGGCTGATCGAAAGGAGTAGAGTTCATTAGGGCAGGGACTTGCACTATCCCCTTGGGGGGGGTGCTCCAGTCAGTAAGGCCCAGAAACAGCAAACTGCTAGAACTGCATAATTATGAATTACTACAAATGTCTGATGACCCATGTCTTGTATGGTTAGGTAATTTATGCAAAATCCTGTATTTCAAAATACCTATAGTTTCTACAAAAGTAATTAAAACATGAGACAGTGTAAAATTCACACTGTGAATGTACAGTTACATGCTTTGAGGAAGGGATAATGTTGGGGACCTGGTACTAATCACAGTGAACCAAAATTATGCAGCAGAACGTTAGTTTTGAATGTTCTGACTTTGTGAACTGCTGCAGGAACAACAAGGAGAAGAAGGGGAAGAACACGAAGCCAGAGGACGACAGTGAGTCGGAGGGTCTGGCCCTGCTGATTCCTGACATCCAGCACACGGCCATCCTGGTGCACAAAACTACATCACAGCTACTCGCACAGCTCAAAGGTAAGTCTGCAGAATAACTGCATTTCTCTGTACCATACTTACATATTATATAGATATCAAGACAAGGCCACCTGGAAGAAAGTTTATCTCTTACAGAATTTCTTTTATGAACTTGCAGGTCATTGGTAGGCAGAAAATGACATAAAACATTTGGGTTTACTTCTACTTCTGTGGCCCTCTTACTAGGAATTTCTTTTACATTTTCCCATTATTTGTTCACGGTAGAGTTTTTAAATGCTGTAATTCTATTGGCATGTCTTGTCTGTAAAGACCCTGTCACACAATCAGAACCTTCCCCTAAACACCTAACAACTTACCATGGTTGTGGGGAGTTCAGCAGTGTTCGGGAGGCCATATTCAGCTTTGTGTGACGAGCTTGGGTCACAGTCTGTTTCTCTGCCTGCTTGCAGTTAGGGAACCTCTAAGGAAGTTCTCTTATGTTGGCCTATACTTTGTTCATGATAGAAAGACACATACACTTTTTTTGTAAACTTTTGTAGTGGTAACAGATATTGTGTACTAGAGCCTAGTCTATCCCTATGAGCTATTTGCCAGTTCTAGTAGTCACCACTACAGCAAATAGCTCGTAGGAATGGATTCCAGGGTAACTAGGGCCGGCATCTGGTGTGTCTTGTCTGTAAGTCACAGTTCTGTTTCCCTGCCTGCCTGCATTTAGTTACATTATTCTGTGAACCTCCAAGGAAGTTCTCTTATGTTGGCCTGTACTTCGTTCATGATAGAAAGGCACATACAATTCTGTAATATTTTACAGTAGGAAAGATACATGTATACTAGAGCTGGCATCTGATGTGTTGGATCTGTAAGTCCAGAGTGCAAAATACCTGGTTGCCCAGTTGCCCCGGGCAACCAAATTTTACTTGGGGCAACCCATTTTTTAACGTAGGTAGCCCAGTCTTCTATCTGAATTTTGAGAATGCCCCCCCCCCCATCATGCCTACTTGGCTTGCACCACTGTACTACTTTTTAATTTTAGGTATTAATGGCTATTACGAGTATCAGTTAACTAAAGGCTGTTAAAAATATTGTCAAAGGCTTGTGTATGTAACATTACTTAATTTGAGGAAAGTAGTAACTTCTACGTGGGGCAACCTAAAATTCTGATGGGCAACCTAATTTTTTGGCGTAGGTTGCCCACTGGGCAACCTGGTTCAAAAAAGTATTTTGTACACTGAAGTCACAGTTCTGTTTCTCTCCCTGCTTCCAGGCTCAGCCTCAGGCTCCAGTGAGGAAGAGAAGAGGAGAGCCATGATGGCCACAGCCACGCCTGACGCCAAGTACATGTCCATCATGAAGGACCTACAGTTTGGTGAGTTTTTTTAACACAAACTTGAACTTGAGTACATTATACTCTACTGCTGTACTGCTGGGGGGAGGCAGGATTGCAACATGTGTGAACTTTGAAATCTTGAAGTCTATGGATATGGGGAATGTGACTGATTGCGTGTACTGTGTCGGTCAGTAGTTGTTAGTGTTCTAGGTAAAATTTGACAGCTCAGGCAAGCAGAGGGGAGTGGTTTGATGCACAGCTCAAAAGCACCACCTATCTGATTGTCCCAAAATTGCAGGACACTAAAATTGATCAGAAGTAATGTCTTCATGTGCCATTAATACATACTCCATTTCCTTTTAAGTAAGCCGTCAGGAAAGGGCTTAAAAGAGGATGATAAACAGATCATGACACTATTTTATGCTATTTTAATTGCTAGATCCTGACAGTGTGTGTGTGTTGTGATGTGATGTACCAACATTAATACAGCTGCCACTGTTGAATGCAATAGATATAATAAACCCGCCTAAGTACTCAGTCCAGGATCTTGCCCCCTTTCCCCTCTGTCTGGATACTCCAGCCCGCTTTGTCCAAGGCCAGAACCTCAGCTTCCCTCCCTTGATTTGATTTGATTTATTAGAATTGCAAACAAGTACAATACTCGTGGGCCACAGGCAGCGGGGGCTGGTGTTGTGGCCCACACACAAAACAATCACAAGCACACAAACAAGACACACATTTAAACCTAGTATAAGTATATAAAAACAAGGGAAATCGTAGATTTCAAACCTCCGGGTTTTTTTTGTGTTCTATTGGTTTAGGTTATTTGTTTGTGTGTAGTATGAAAGTTATGTGCGTAATATGTTTGTATGTGTTTGATGGCTACTGACGGTTGGTTCGGTATGGACTGTTGATTAACGTGTCTCACAGCCTGACAGCCTGCACCCGCGCCATTACCCCCGCCGTCATCCCGCGCCGTCATTGCTGCGCCATCACCCAAAATTTTTATCGGAACCAGACACCCCTCTGTTTGACCCCTTTTGAATGCTAAGACCCAAAACTGCAACCGCCCCATTCCTTAACAACATGGTAATTACCATTTTCAGCATGGCGGGGGTGTCCGGAGCACTTAAAAGCCTTTTATTTCGACGCCCATAAACACATATGCAATTAAACAAAAACGTTCTGCATCATCTGCAGCCCAATAGCAATACGTATACCGAACCACAGACAAATCCGTCCAGCCGATCGCGAGAAACAGCTGCTGACAGAAATGTTTCGAACCATAGTAAAACCTCCTCGCGGAAGGATATCTCCTTCCCCGGAGGTAATAAGTGTAATGATACTAAAAACAGCATAGATTAGAATACTAGTATAAAATAATTATCAGTCCATTTAGTACTAGATACAGTTCATGTGGTTTCTAGCTGCCAGAATGTTCTCGTGTCTGGGGCCACGTCTCCGGGTCATCTTAGGGCAAGCCCTGCGTCTTGAAATAAATCATTGGTATGAAATAACAATTATTTATTTTTCCTCCCATCCTGCAGACACCTACCTGATCACATCAGAAGACGACGACGGGAAGATCCAGTTCAACATGGGCTTCCACTTCGCCTCCAACGTGAAGGCGGCGGGCGACGTCAGCAACCCGCGGCGCGCCCGCCGGCTGGCCCAGGAGGCCGTGACGCTGTCCACCTCCCTCCCGCTGTCCGCCAGCTCCAGCGTCTTCGTCAGGTGTGACGAGGACAGGCTAGACATCATGAAGGTAGGATCGCTTGAAGACTAAGCTTTAACTCCCAACACTTAGATTACAGAATTGGGACTTAGGCCATGTTGATTTGATTATATGGATGACATCCGCGCGCGCATGAATTTTCGGCTGTTTCCAAAAAAAAAAGTTTTCAACCATACTGTAAATCGTACAAAACAGTTGCTAAATGAGCAAAAATATACCATAAGTTGCAAGGAAAACATTTAGAAACGATACCAATGTCGTAGAATGCCAAAATCAAAGGAAAAAAGACAAAAATGTAAAGAAATGAATTCAAAGAGTAGATTATTCGCCTTAACATATTTTGTGCCATTTGTTCAACCTTCATGACCACGTAGATTTCATAGTGAAAGCAACTTTTTATTTTTGCAAAACTTTTTTTTAGTCGCACGCGCGCATCAGTTTTGGGGTTCCCAGAGGATGTCATCCATATAATCAAATCAACATGGCCTTACCCAAATTTTCGGTTGACTCCATCAATCTTGTTCATGGAATGGACCCTTTATGGACCCCGGGGCGACACAAGTTATCTGGCACGTATGACCCGCTACTATGGTCACGTGTCTCTGACGTCATTTTCCAAGAGTAGACGGGTCCATTCCATATTGAACAAGGTTGATGGAGTCAACCGAAAATTTGGGTAAGTCCCAATTCTGTAATCTAAGTGTTGGAAGTTAAAGCTTAGTCTTTATTTCATAATGAAGGTAGGATATTGGGATTTTCTTATACACAACCAGGTACTTCGTAAATAATTTCATCAGGTTGATAAACAACTGAATAGCAAAGTTCTTTTATCACAACCATTTATTTTTCACGAACCGACGTTTCGATGGCCGTCTGTCATCTTCATCAGGGCAATTCTGACTGGTTTACTGTGTACTGACGCTAGATGTTACTTAATGCATAGTGCACTAAAGGTGTTAAGTGCACTGTGAACTATGTACACTGTGAACTCTAGCGTCAGTACACAGTAAACCAGTCAGAATTGCCCTGATGAAGATGACAGAAGGTCATCGAAACGTCGGCTCGTGAAAAATAAATGGTTGTGATAAAAGAACTTTGCTATTCACAACCAGGTACTGTTCCTATATACCTTGCTTACATTTTGATGTCTACCAGACACCTTCCTCATCAGAGCTTCTGACTGGAGTGCTGCCCACACGAAAGAGGTATTTAGTGCTGCACAGGTGCAGCATTGGTGCTGCACATATCTGGCACTTTGAGCATTGATGCTGCATGAATCCAGTTCCCTGGGCAATTGGGCATTGATGCCGCACTGATGTGTTGACCATTAATCATCATTTATCATTCTGGGCTCCTCATACTCTAGCAATGTATGATCTCCTTCCCCTGACTACAGCCAGTCACACCAGATTAACCCCCTGCACTCAGGCCTCCAGGCTTTAATTACCGTGACAGGAAATGGCACCAATGCCCACAGGCCCCTCCCCCCACCTCTCTGGTCTGAACCCCTGGTTATCCATTTTGTATGTAGAACTTTGAGAAAATCTAGAGTAGATTAGACCCTAAGTCTGACTGCACAATATACAAAACTCACTTAAATACATTGCCTAGTAGAACTGGTGATTATCTCTTCTTAGACTCCCTTATCTTTCAGTTCCTTCAACCGTAATGGAACCTTACTGTAGATTATTACCTAACAGCCAAATAATAAAGAAATGTTTTTAATGTGTTTTATTGGAACATATTATCACTGGTGAACTTAAATTTGTATGATAAATGATTTTCCACTTTAAGAACAATTCAGACTTACGTCTGCTGGTTGTTTGTCTGGCTAAAGAGTCAAGGCAAGAGCCAGGCATTGGAAACTCAAGTAAAACAGCTGCCCATTTCAAGCTCAAATTGACTAACTTCTCCCCACAAAAGTGCCTAACCAGTGGCTGTTCCAAATTTATCACATGATCAGGTTCCAGACTTATCACATGACTCACTGGCCTGGTTAACATGTGTGTACCAGGGGCTGGGCTGAAAGTGGCCTGTGGCTTATATCCTGGCTACATTGTAGTTTCAGCATGGTTTCATTGTGCTGTACTGGTAATACACCTGGAACTAAGTTATTTCTAACATACTTTGTACATGTAAACCTAGGTAGACCTACAGGCCATTATCTTAGGTTTGGCTGTTGATATTTAGTGTAGGTTGTATTTACATGTTCAAACTTCAGTTATCCAGTATCCAAAAATACTGAGATGACCACTAAACTTGAGAAGACTTGTAAGCTATTTTGATAGTATACACAGGAGGTAGTTTGCCAAGTTCATATAAGCTCACTTAACATACAAAACCATACCTCTTATATATAATCATTTTCATGGAGTTAATAATTGAACATCCTATTAACTTACTCAAAAGTGGAACAAAATTTGAAAAGCATTATATATGATAGTTTAAAACCAAAATTCCTGGACCAGTTCAAGAGGCCAGGGTACATGGGGTTAATCCAAAGGTGAAGCATGACTGCTAGATAATTACCGTGACAGAAAATAGCACCAATGCGGCTTTACTCCTTCTAATTGGTTCAAGGCATTGCTGGTTGACAGTTTGGGAAGGGAATCTTGGACAGCTATAATTTACCATGAAATTGCCGTGGCAGTCAGCATCAATGCGGCATGAACTAGGCATTAAAACTTTGAGCATTCATGCAGCACTGAAACACACTTTGGTTTGGGTGCTTCTCGCCGCCATATGTAGCCAATGTACACATGTAGGTGGCACACAATCCCAAATGTGGCTAAGTTTCTTTCATCCTGGTTCATCTTGAAGGTTATTCTTGGTCCTAAACTTATGTAAAAAAAGGTAGTCCCGTAGCCTTTTCGAGGCTGTGGGGGCAGTGGGTTGTTCATAGTAATGGAAGCTCCAGCGTGTTTGTTAAGTGTGACGAGGACAGGCTAGACATCATGAAGGTGATTCTTGGTCCTAGACTTAATAATTATGTACATGTAAGGCCATACCAATTTAATTTCTTGGTTAACGGATTCGCCTCTTCATTTTTTTCTGATTTGCAAATAAAAATAAAAATTCAGAATCAACTGCAAAATGCTCATATTTTGCCCTGAACAGTTGAAAACAGTCCTTTTCTTACTACTTGTTACAATCATTCCATCGTTCAATGCAGTGCTACCATTAAAAGTTAAAAATTCATTGTTTAAATTTTGAACCAGCCTGGTGTGTTGACTTCATGGCTCCTATCATACCATTTTGGGCCATAATAGGATGCCTAGGCCTGTTTTTATTTTTTTATTTTTTTCGCCCGCCCGCTCCATTATTTTTCTAGAAAAATCCGTTAACCAAGAAATTAAATTGGTGTGGCCTAATCACTAGATTTCAAACTTGTGAATAATTTCATCAGGTCGGTATAAATAACTGTGTAACAAAGTTCTTTATTCACAACCAAAGGATTTTATAAGCCAATTTTTGGTGACCGTCTGTCACCTTCCTCAGTGCAATACTGACTGGTTCAACTTTATGTTCGGGACCATATACTTCACACTGCGTCATTAACAGTTGCGTCGTGGAACCAGTCAGTATTGCCCTGAAGAAGGTGACAGAGGGTCACGAAAATGTTGGCTTGTTCTTTGGTTGCAAATAAAGAACTTTGTTATTTCGATTGTATACTGTAGATATTGCTCTTCTATGAAATAGTTTGTGTTTCAGATGTCATCGTGAAATAGAATTACGTTGAAATTCGTGTTTCAGATGTTGTTTTGGGGTCACCTTTTTTCTTGCTTGTTTGCTGCAGGTGTTGATAACAGGTCCTTCAGACACGCCGTACGCCAACGGCTGCTTCGAGTTTGACGTGTACTTCCCGCAGGACTACCCAAACTCCCCCATGCTGGTCAACCTGGAGACCACCGGACACCACTCTGTCAGGTTCAACCCCAATCTGTACAACGATGGCAAGGTAAGCTTGAGGCAGTGAGCACGTTGGCAGAACGTATACTCTCTATCTCTATCTGCATACCCTGTATAACTGCCCTTCGGCATAACACACCAGCTTCGCAGGCACGTGGCGCAGCGGCAGCTGGCTACATTACACCGAACGACTTGTTACACCTAACCCTTGAACTCTAAACATTGTGTAAAGCTATGTAATGATAATGCTTTTCCTAGGCCTGTACTGTTCCTACGCAAAGCACAGATTGTTCACAGTATTCGTAGGATGTTTGGTGAACATTGCATCAGAATTTTGCCTATTGCAGAGGATATCTTGTAGGACACAACATTTTAAATCTATAGACTGACAGGCATTTGATGTACTTGTATGACATCCTACGTGTAAGTGCTATGCACAATACATTATGGTGTGTATAAGTGAATATGATACTGATAGAGGGTGAGGGTTTCCTCCTTCATGGCAGTATTCAAACTGCACAATTATGATTGATCCTGTGGTTTGCTGTACCATGAATAACTAAATGCTTTCCTTGTATGCAACCCAGCTAAACTACTACTGTTGTTGCTGTTTTAGGTTTGCCTGTCTGTACTGAACACCTGGCATGGCAGGCCTGAGGAGAAGTGGAACTCACAGACATCCAGCTTCCTGCAGGTGAGCCATGGTTGCATTTTGAGACAATAGGGACAGTTGGTTGTTATCCACTGTGTTTCGGTATTGGAAACCAGAGCCAATTATTCTTCCTATTTGGGTGAATGTCACTGTTTTAAAATACGAAACGCTGTCAAAACAGGGTTGAGGGAGGCCAACATTACAAGGTCTCAACTCAGAGACCAACCACTACCAAGACGTACCACCACATTCACCTGTACAACACTCACGGATAGGCTTGCTCAGCCACCAGAGAAGATGCAGGTCCCCTCCGGGACCAAGCTCATTGTCTTTCTAAACACACACACACACACACACACACACACACACACACACACACACACACACATATATAAACATCAATTTGCTAACAGCCAGCATGTTCTTCTCTCCCCTCCCCCCACAGGTCCTGGTGTCTATCCAGTCCCTGATCCTGGTGTCTGAGCCGTACTTTAACGAGCCGGGGTACGAGCGGTCGCGAGGGACGCCGTCGGGGATGCAGAGTTCGCGGGAGTACGACGCCAACATCCGGCAGGCCACCGTGAAGTGGGCCATGTTAGAGCAGCTCCGCAACCCTTCTCCCTGCTTCAAGGAGGTAAGTTTGCATCTTTCTTATTTCAGAAACTAAGACGTCAGGGTTGACGAAAATGTTGAGCCCCATCTTGTCCTTAAGTTTTCATCATGTAGTAACAAAGTACAGTCTACATAATATTATAATTGTACATTTTACACAAGAATCTGTTATGCTACATTGTATTTACGGTAAATTGCTGAACGCAAGCTATTTATTGGGATTGTTATGTACACCATTTCTGTTGTATGTCTATTGTGTGTGATGCTTATTGAAATCAAATTTTTAGAAGATTAGGCCACACCAATTTAATTTGTTGGTTCTCGGATTTTTTTCAGAAAAAATATGAAGCGACAGGGCGAAAAAATAAAAAAATAAAAACAGGTCTAGGCATCCTATTATAGGCTTAAATGCTACAAAATGAGCCATGAAGTCAACACAAAAGGCTGGGTTAAAATTTAAACATTGAATTTTTAACTTTTAATCAAACCACTGCAATGATAGATGGGAAAACTGTAACAACTAGGAAGAAAAGGACTTTCCTCAACTGTTGGGGGGCAAAACATGAGCATTTTTCAGTTGATTCAGGACCAGAATTCAAATTTTTTTTTTTTGCAAATCAGAAAAAAACGAAGAGGCGAATCCGAGAACCAACAAATTAAATTGGTGTGGCCTTATTATGTATTGAGTGGTCTACAAGAAATTTTAAACCTGTCCTGACTTCTGGGGATATAATTGGTTGACAAGCCACGATTGTTATACAACGTCCTCTTAGACATCTTTCCACCATATACATATAGAATACAACGCGGGGTATTCCGTATTGCCCGAGGTATCGGCCCGACTCGCGGGAGGGCCGGGACCGAGGGCGATGCGGAATACACCGTGTTGTATTTTATTTATGTCATACCCACCCAAGAAAACACGCCTTTCAATGCAAGATGAGCCAAAAGTTGGTGCCACTGAACCCTACACTGCAACAACATCAATTCCAACGTCTGGATTCTGTATTCGAATTTTCGAAAGGGGCACACGCGGCTAGGGCGAAACGCGTTCAAATCGTTTTATGGAAGCCAGGGAAGCGTTCGATAACGGGTTCTGGAACGGGCCGTACCGTAACGTACGGCCCGGTCCGGAACCCGTTATCGAACGTTATCGCGGCCCGGGTATGATATAATATAGAGTACTAAAGACATTGTGTTGCTGCCTTCATCTATGATAAACCCTGTTGCCTCTCCTCCACTTATTTTAACACTTTGTAACATTCAAGGCTATTTGTGGAAGTGAGTTGTGTGTTTTAAAGTAAAACATATTTCAGCCAGACGGCTGCAATGTTTTATAGAAATAAACCATTCATTCACTCATACATTCACTCTCCCCCCAGGTGATCTAGAAGCACTTAATGAGTGGTCTTCAACTTACAAGAGATTTCAAACATTTCTGAGATTTGACAAGCCATGATTAGTGTCATACTCTTAGACATCCTTCCAACATGTACAAGTGTAGAGTACAGAAGAGATTGTGTTGCTAACTTGACCTGTGATGAACCCTGTTGCCTCTCCTCCACTATCCCCAGGGGATCCAAAAGCACTCTGGCTGAAAAGCACATTCTCAGTACAGTCTGGTCTTACATGTATGCAGCTTGTACCTACAGTACAAACTGGTGTGTTATACCTACTGCTTGTGCAAAACAAACCATGTAGAGAGTTACGTCGATGAAGGTTAGACATCCAGGTAATACGATACGCCAAAAAGCAGTTACTCAAGCAACTGGATATGATTTTGAAAACGTCAGACGTTTCAGCTAGTATCCACTAGCTTTCGTCAGTGACTGAGAGACCAGAGGGAAAATGCAGGTTTATAAGCACAACCTATTGATTGATATGCAAATAAAGTGAAGACTTTTGTTCCTTTTTCGACTTCCAAAAATTTGTCTTCACTTTATTTGCATATCAATCAATAGGTTTTGCTTATAAACCTGCATTTTCCCTCTGGTCTCTCAGTCACTGACGAAAGCTAGTGGATACTAGCTGAAACGTCTGACGTTTTCAAAATCATATCCAGTTGCTTGAGTAACTGCTTTTTGGCGCATGTAGAGAGTTGTATTCGATAACTTCAACTGTGAGATAAACCCTGTTGCCTCTCCTTTGCAGGTTATCCAGAAGCACTTCTGGCTGAAGCGTGTGGAGGTTCTGGCCCAGTGTGAGGAGTGGATCGCCGACATCGAGACCTACACCAGCGACAAGCGGGTGGGACGGACCATGGCACATCACGCAGCTGCACTCAGGGTGGGTCACACTGGAGACATTGTCTATATGTTTGTTTTTGTTTGTTTATTTGAGCCTGTTATTCTTATTTTATTCTTAATAATATCTTATTCTGACTTACCAATATTTGTGAAATACTCAACAAGCGACAATCGGGTGGGACGAACCATGGCACATCACGCAGCTGCACTCAGGATGGGTCACACAGGATATCATTTGTTTTTGTTTGTTTGTTTGAGCCATGGATTATTTGTGAAATATTCAATACTAGTCCTACATAATCCATAAACAAAGTTTAACTTGTATAGTCCTACAGAGTCTATATCAATATACATGTATCTCTATCTCAACACATCTCTGTATATGAGCAATGCAATGTGTATACACAAGGCAAAAAAGCAGAAATAGGAAATACAAACAATCAAAAGTAGAAATAGGAAATACAAACAGTCATGTACATGTATGACATCTCCAATGCAATGTTCTCTGGTATGATGCACTCCTGTGCATTTCACATTTATATAAACTGTGCATACCTGGGTGCTGCTCTAGAGATCCCTCAAACACACTGTCTTTCAAAGTGGTGGATATATTTTAGTTTGTAAATTGTCTGCAATTCAGTGACAGGATGGGTCACTGCAAATGTGCAATAAACCTGGCAGATGAATAGAAATAAAAAAACTATGGAGGTTAACAGTGCTGTTCCTTCTGCTGTACAGAGACACACGGCCCAGCTGAGGGAAGAACTGATGAAGATGAAGCCACCCACAGACCTGGAGGACGGCGCAGCCTCCAAAGACGCCGGGTCAAACGACGCAGAAGAAATCACAGAGAAGAACAACAGCGACAACACAGCAGAGGCAGCGGAGCCTTCAACCGACGAACAAAGCAAAGACGTAACCGACGGGCAACACGCGAGCGTGAGTTTGGGAGGCAAGATCAGTCTAGACGTGGAGGGGCAGAGCGGCAATAGCACGGACGGACAGAGTAACACCAGCACAGACGGACAGACGAGCAGCAGCGCGGACGAACACACCAGCACGAGCACGGAGGAGCAGACCAACGGCAGCTCAGACAACCAGACAGCTGTCGTCACAGGAGCACAGACAGCCTGAGGCACCGACGGACCGCCCTACACAGGGTCTAACGAAGGTGCCTCCAACACCTCTCCACATACAGAAGTTAACATCGTTCTGGGTTGCCGACAATGTGATGTGTGTTTAACAACAATGCTGCAGGGGAGAAAGGGATGGAAACGAGATGTTGCAACTTGAAATGCTGCTGGTAATAATTTGTTTAAGCGGGCAATGATCATAGCTGGAATTGGGGGGAAACGGAATCACACGTACTGGTAATAAGCATGGTAGAGCAATGTAGGAACAAAAACAAAGAGACAGTGAAGTACAAGGGACTATACATTATGCATTATTATGAAGACTGTCCTGACTCTTTCAAGAACTCAGACCTCCAGTATTTGGTCTCGATCATCACTAGACGAAGTCACTCGGTGGTTGTCAAGCTTTCCTAACTCCACCCGTACTTACAATGTATCGGTGGAAGACCTTGTTTCAAGTTCTCGCAATTCACAGAAGCACAACTCAGAAATGGAAGCAACTATGTAATTACTTCAGCTTCCCAAGGGATGATTATATGACCCTGGGGTGCTTTTGAACATTGTCTTTTTTTTCATTGAAAACACAATGCTTTAGCCGTATACAATAATATGAGAAATGCTTTGTTCATCCCTATATGTGTATAATTGCACCATGTACATAAGAAAGCATGGTGCATATCCAGTCCAGATCAACATGATTGTACAATGATCAGGACTGATATGACAGAAACTATTGTTTGGCCATATTGCATGATAACACTCAAAGGCATTCTGATGGTGTACAGAATGTATGTGCTGTTCACTTCAGACTTTCTTTGTAACACACACGTGTGTCTGCATAGTGCATAGATCTTCGATTTGTGAAAATATCTCTTACGATACTACTTATCGTGCGACATAGCAATTATGCTTGTTGCACGATATTGTTCTTGTAAAATCCATTACATACTATATTGTACCATGTGTAAAGAATGTTGTCTGTACTTGGTGCAGAGCTGAGGCTCACCCTGTTGGAGCAATGCAACGCATTTCTATATCCTTCTATAACGAAGGGATAATCACATGTAAATATAAAGTTGTTGTTTGATTTAGGTTGTTGTTCATTAGTTGTTCAAGTACGTGTGGAAGGTCGAGAGCAAGAAAGAGAGAAAGAAAGCATTCTTATTATATAAAGATTATGTGTTAAGCAAGAATAATGTACTGTATCATACCAAACGATCAGGGATATGACATTATCTGACAGAATTCTGCCTATTTTATGAATGCCATTGTTGCAAAGCAAAATTATAGAATTGTAACTCGGAACACTTATATATGATAATACATGAACCAACTGCTGCACGATGACTAGGATACTGTTAGTACTAACTCGTGCATTCTTCCACAAGAGGAGATGATGTAAAGGTTTGACTGTGTCTGGGGAGAACGAGAGAAAGCGTGGAACGTAAACGTGGCGCCGAGGGGAGGGGGAACGGTGCTAGACGACGTCGTGTGTGAATTTGTGTCACTTTGTGGTGTTGTACAAGCGTAACAATGGTGTTTCGGTCAGAACTATAGTAGCTGTAGTTCATTCAAACAGTGTAGTGACTAGTTCATCATTGGGCATCTGTATTATTATTGTTCAATATCAATGGCTTCTTCTATCTCTGATGTATAACTGGCATGACTGACTTGTAAGAATATGACGAAAACGGTGCCAGAGAATTTGCTTTCTTGATACTGATATTATACATACAGGACATGTACATTGGCTCTATATGATATTAATAGCAATGTCTGCATTCCATGTACATTGTATGCAGACCTGGTGAGTTGTACCAGGGAATCCTGTAGACCAGTCGGTTCTTTTCCGTTGAAATTTCCGTTGCTTTTTAGATGGATTGGGATGTAATTACGAAATAAAACAACTTGACAAGAACGGGGTTGCTCTTGAATGCTTATGTCCACTCCCTTTCTGGCAGATCATGGCTCAGCAAGATCACTTGAGTGTAGCGTGTTTAGTCCTGCCTCTGGACCAAGCGGCTGTTGTCGCTCACCTGACATGTACGCTAATGCAAAGAGTTGCAGTCCTTTAGGACACAAGCTATAGTCCACTGTTCATTGTGCCTGTAAACCTGTAAATACTGTACATAGTGTCTGTCATGACCAGAATCACTCTTTACTGAGCTAAAACTGGATCAAGATCGCTTTTCTTTCTTTACTTCCGGGTACTCTTTGTGAAAGACTTCTGATAATGAGTAGTGATAACAGACCTTCGTCCTTGCCAACCCAAAATCTGCTGTTTTATAGCCTGTGATGATGCTAGACTTGTTTCAATTTCAATTTTATTAAGAATAGTCAACATAGCAGGGGTACATAGTACTCCTGAATTGTGTGGACTTTACATATTATTGAGTATAAGAAACGCACAAGACACATACAAGAGTGGGACATGAAACAGAAGAACACTAGGTCTGCATTTCGCTATTGTACAGTCTGATTGTGCAATGGAGGAACGAGTTATACAGTCTGTTTGTCCGTGCCTTGGGCACCGTGATTCCCCCAGAGTTCCTCAAACACCTCCCTGTGCTGTCCGACCTGGCTCCTGGTACCAAATCATGTAGTGGGTGGTCAGGGCTGAGCATACGCTTGAGCAGCTTGACAGCCGCAAGTTCACGTCTTTGTTTGAATTGGGGTTCACACTTGAAAGGATGTACGATATAACTGCTAGCCAAGGGAAACTCTAACAAACTTCCCTTCTTCACACAAGCTGGTACAAGAAATTAAAGAAAATGATCACATTTAGGAGTATCAAAATCTATACCAAGCTCTAGCTGTACTTATTAGCACGTTTGTTAGAGATCTACTCTGTTATAAGCAACTTACAGAATCTCTTAAAGGCAAGAACTGTGCAATTCAACAGAAAGTCAGAAGGGGCCAGCATCACACTACTAAGTATACTGCACTGCATGTAGGCCTAGCCTGGTTACCAAACCTATATATTAATATAGCTCCCTAGTCCTACATATACATCCACCCAGAAGTTCAAAATGGGCCTTATAAAAACCTTATCAATTCAGACTGTGGAAGCAAACAGACTTTCGCGTGCGCCATGTTGGTACAGTATATAGAGGCTTTTCATTTACGTCATAATAATTATAATATGAATCTCGACGACCAGGTGTTGGCGGGTAAACTGGCATGTTTAACAGACACCGACGTGCACCGTAATCCAACATGGCGGATGTAGAAAGCCTCTACTACACTGTGCCGCACGCGTCTAGAGTTGTCCCGGCGGCTCGATGCTCCCGCCGCACCAACCACGCTCTTAAGCTGCAGACCATCGCGAGTAAGAACTATTACAGGCTCTTGTTCTTCCCTCGTACCATCCAAGAGTGCAACGAACTTGAGCCTGGTGTGGCGGAGGCGGGGTCCCTCGCCCAGTTCAAAACTGGACTGGCGAGTACTCTCTGTCATTGCTTCTTCCCGACCTCCATGTCCAGTTCTCCCCGACCACGGAAGCTCCCAGCCAGACGTCGTCTGGACGTCGTGTCTAGACCCACGTCACGTCTCGCCGTACGTCGCGACAGAGCGTCTGCGCATGGGAACCTGACGAGCTCACTCTCTGACTCTCTGAGCTGAGGGTAGTACACGCGCAATCTGCTCTCATCGTATCTTGTATCGCTTTGCTTTGAATTCGACGTTTTGAAGACTCTGAAATGGCGAGGACCAATAACAACGGTGAGCCCGATTATATTTTCAGTATATATTGTTCTCTACACAGTTTCATCTTCCCCATAGAACGAACCCATCATCAGAAACCCTGGCTTATTCATGCCGATTGATTAGGAATACTATATAGCTATCGCAGTTTGGGTCGGTACTCTTCGGGGCTGCAAGAGCTCTTCTGCTGCCAAACTCAAGTATGCTCCTCGGCAGGACATTCTCGACGACAGTACTACAGTAGCACATCAGGGGCTAATCAAACTCCTGTCGTAAAAAAAAAAGAGCCCTACACTAGGCTACAGGCGCAAAATTCCCATCGATCGGGGAGAAACTTCGAAGAGTGTCACTAAAACCGGGATATACCAAGAAGAAAGGAACACTAACTTCCGTCCCGTAAACATTGGTCTTGTCTTGGTCTTGGAGGTTAAGGTAGCCAACATCAACATGCTGATGATTCTGCTACACTGTAGTATTTGGGTTGTAGAATTTGGACCATCGCACACCGGGGCATGCCCCTACTCTTTTTCGAAAGGTATGGTGGGATCTTTAACGTGCTCGAGGTATGGCTCTCCTCAAGCACGGGACCTCCAGTTTACGTCCTATCCGAGGGACGTCCCTAGCCGAAGCTATGTACTAATTTACACCTGAGTGAAGTGAGGAAATTCGTGTAAAGTGCCTTTCCCAAGGGCACAAGATCGGTGACATGGGTGGGGATCGAACCCTGGACCTCTAGGTTCCCGAGCCGAACGCGCTACCGCTGCGCCACACGACCCCACGGGGTAACATTCGTTACCATCTGAAACAATCGTGTGAATAATACACGTAGTAGTAGAAGAAGAAGTACGCCACGAATCTCCGTGAAATTTCGTAGCGTAGAGTATTCGGTTAGTGATTTAGGTGTAGGCTTTTTGACCTGGGTTAGGATGTGATCTTGTGCTTTTCCTTTTTTTCCCGGCACTATTATATGTACTTTCCTTCAACGATCATGCTGTCGTACTTTTGCTACTAGCACCATTTTCTGTACAGCGCCATCTTACCAACACAACCCTCTCTCCTTTGTTTGTAATCTTGAAAACTGGATACTTTCAAAATGAAACGAAATGGCCACCGGACGAAAACTTAGTAATACTTGCTTTAGATTGTAGACGTTGAAATTTCCGGTTTTATGTGAACTTGATCGCGTGTTATTTCAAATTTCCCGCGCTTTAAAGCAAATGTTGCAGAGGTTCGCTAGATGGCGCTAGTTATGGATCGGTCGACTCCTATCCTATCAATTTGTTCTCCTTTTTTTCTGAGCTTAGCGGGTTCTTTAACGTGCCCAAGCCACGACACTTCAGACACTGGACCCTTTAATATCCGTGGTGTGTCTCCTCCGTGGTGTGTCCTAACAGTCCTTTGTTGGCTGACGCAGTACAGACGTGGGAAAAAACACGGTACCGAAGTTAGGTGTAGTAACGAAACTACCGTAGTACCCCATTAGGTTCCCAATATTTTGTATGTCAAACAGATTGGGTCATGAATTTTCCTCAGATTTACATCCTTTCTGACAGTGTTTATAGCTGGATATGGGTGTCTGGTGAAACACGTTAATTTCACACTGTGGTAAAGTAGGTAGAACTGTTTAGGATTGATTTATCCAACTGGAGGTTAGAGAGGGTCCCTTTTTTAACCTCCTTGATTTAACAGAGACTCGCATCAGAACACAGACGCTTTAAGCGTAAAGCAAAAAAATAAGTACATGATGTAGAAGACGATTCTTCTTCATGGTCCTATGAGACCGATGAAATGCCTACTATTCATCCTTGTGAAGTTAGCTCCCATTTCAGATTCAAGCTTTTAAGAAAAGCAGCAGTAAGATGTGTAATTAGGTTTTGTTTTATATGGTGCACCTATTCGCAAAATGAGCCCTGCTGGTCATAACCTGCCCAAGGACATCTGAATTATGTGCAAGGCATCTGTAATGTTTCTGGGCTTCCAGAAGACGGCAGTGTCTTAATATCATGTGGAAAAAGTGTCAAAATGAAACTTCTAGATCAATACCATTGGACGGACACAACAATAGTGCAGAGCAGCAATTTGCCTATCTTTATTGCTGCAGGCACCCAGGTCGTTGACCTTAATATGTCTGGGTGTCAGATTTGCCGGCGTGCCTCGTCCCATCAAGCGGTGATTCCGGGCAGCGCCTCGCCAAGGTTATTGGACAAATCATCGCGCAGGATCACCTTGGAGGACCTGTGTACGTGCCGCGAGTCCTCTGCCAGGATTTAACCAGAGTTCAGTGAGAAAGGAAGGGAGGGTGGTCACTCTGCCAAATGCTGAATAGATGGTGGTGGTATAAAAAGATTTGATGATGAAATG